CCCTAGGAGATTCCGGACCCTCCTAATGAGATACCTGGACCCTTAGGGTACATTCACCCTCATCGGGCCTGCGGCGCCAGGCGCAGGGGCTCAGTGGATCCCGGCTCCTCCATTCAAAGACAACCTCTAAGGCTCCAGCTGCCTATATGGCCTATGCGAATTTTTAGGGTTTAAGTTTAAGACTTATAGGGTTTAGGTATATAGCATATGGATATATTTAGGGCGTAGGGTTTAGGGTTTAGGTATATAGCATATGGGAACATTTAGGGTTTAGGGTTTAGGGTTTAGGGTCTAGGGCTTAGGGTTTAGGCTTAGGGCTTAGGGTTTAGGGTCTAAGGCTCCAGCTACCTACCAGCACCCTTTAATGGAGCCCTTATGGTCGCTATAGTGGGTATTTGGGGTACAATAGAGGGTAGTTGGGGGTCTAGGTACATAGCATTTGGGTATATTTAGGGTTTAGGGTTATAGGTATATAGCTTATGGGTACATGTAGGGTTTAGGGTTTAGGGCTTCGGTATATAATCGGTATTATTTAGGGTTTAGAGTTTAGGGTTTAGGGTAGTTCTCTAAACAAGGGTCCCCTTTAAGCCCCCAAGATAATACAACGCCCTCTTAAAACGGACCCTTCTTTAGAGACTTGCCCATATACCTAAGCCTCAGACCCTGTCTTCATATGGGGGTTTCCAAAAATTGGGGTACCTTATTTTGGGGTCCTTATATTAAGGATCCTATTATTTAGGGTACTATATTAGGGTCCCCTATTTTCGGAAACCCCCATATATATATATATATGTATACATAGATACTTTCAGGGTCTAAGAATACTCGAAACGTTTAGGGTTTAGGGTGCTCATCTCCCCAGAACCGCCCCCACAACAACCCGCCCCAACGCGGCCAAGCCCGCTCTTCAAAAATAAAAGCAAAACAAGGGTGTAAGGCTTCAAGTTTACCAACACCGCCCAACTACCCCTTATTAAGGGCCTAAGTACCCACTATTAAGGACCATAAGGCTTAAATTAAGGGGTACCTGGGGAGGGTGCTGGTAGAAGGAACTAACACAACAAACAAACCATAAACCCTAAACCCTAAACGACCCCAAATCCACCCATCGTCTCCGGCTGAGTCTGGCCAGGCTCCGCGGCCGCCTGGCGGCATTGTTTTCTGTTCTTTGGTGTAGGGTTTGGGGTTTAGCGTTTAGGGTCTATAGGGTTTAGGGTTTGGGGGTTTAGGGTTTTTTTTCAGTGTTATGAGACTTTCAATCTGCAGACCTCAAGTCTCAGCCCTGTGGGCCAAACACTAACAAGACTACCTCAGACGTCGCCCCCCTCGTGAGAGCTCGGTTTAGGGGTTTAGGGTTTAGGGGGTTTGGGGTTATTAGGTTTTTCAGGTGCACAGGGTTTAGGATCTGGATTTTTTTACAGGGCGCTTCTGCAACTGCAAAAGGTTTAGGGCTTTCTTGCATGGGTGTGGGTGCGTTTGTGTGTATGGTCTCTTTGTTTTATGCGCATTCTTCCTGCACGTATAGTTTGGGGGTTGGTTCACCAAGGCTGCAGACCTGTGAGGCTTGGGGCATTACAGCAAAGTCTCTTAACTTAGGGATCGAGATAGGGATCGAGGCTGTACTGATGCCCGGGTGGGGTTTAGGGCCTTCTTGCAACTTGTTCTAGGATACCCAGTCACCTAGGAATAGAACGGGCTGTCTTTTTGGTGCTGGGTCGCTCCTTAGACTACTGTTATCGGACCCCCCCTCCAAAAAAAAAACAAAAAAGCCTAAGTTTCTACCCTGCAGGCACATGGACCCTATAAAGCCCTGGTAGACACTACACTAGACCCTATACCAACCCTCCATCGAACCCTAGGATGCCAAACCCTAAACCCCGAAACCCTGAAAGAAAGAAGTGTTCTGCAAGGGTTCGAAGGAATCCAAGTCGTATAGGGGGACTATCAGGATTTCATAAGGTGTCTAGGGGTAAAGAGCAGGATTTGATATGAGCTTCGTGGTGTAAAATCTGCGGCGTTAGGGTTGGGTTGCTGCAGCGTGGTCCGGGTCGGCATGCTTGGTGTTGAGGGTTTGCAAAGGCTGCAACACTGCCTCTTCAAAACCTTGGTGCAATAAGAGCCTGCAGATTATATATAAAAACGTGTGGAATCATGTTGTCGTGAACGTAAGCATGTTCTGGATTGTCAGCACTGTATTAGGGCTCAACCCTGTAGCCTATTCCCTAGAGCGCGAAGCTTTCAGTCCCCGGAACCCTAACCCCTAAAACCCTAAGCCCCTAAACCCCCCAACCCTAAACCCTAAACCTTAAATCCTAAACCCTAAACCTTTTAAACCCCTAAACCCCAAGCCCCTAAGCCCTAAACCCCTAAACCCCTAAACCCTAAACACTAAGCCCTCAACCCTAAACCCCTAAACCCTGAACCCTAAACCCTGAAACCCCTAAGCCCTAAACCCTAAACCCAGTAAACCCTAAACCCTGAACCCTAAACCCTTAAACCCCTAAGCCCCTAAACCCTAAACCCCTAAACCCCCCAACCCTAAAACCCCAAAACCTTCAACCCTCAGCCCTAAACTCCAAACCCTAAGCCCTAAACCCTAAACCCCGTAAACCCTAAACCAGCCTGCAGCTCGAGATCCTTCAGCAAGGAGCGGATGTCGCATTTCAAGCCATCTGACCTGGGTTTGGGGGTTTAGGGATTGGGTGGCCGAGGTTTTAGGATATAGGGTTTAGGGTTTAGGTTAGGGTTTTTGGGTTTAGGGTTGCAGAGATGGTCCTGCCAACGCCCCCAAACTACCCCGTATGAAGGGCCTCAGTACCCACTGTTTAATTTACGGACCCTAAGGCTTCTATGAAAGGGTACTTGGGGGGGGGGAGTGCTGGTAAAGCCTAAACTCTAAACCGGGAAGAGCTTGGGGATTAAGGCTTACCTTCTGGACGACATGACACTTAAAAGTAGGGGCCTATACCCTGATACTATGAATCCCTATATGGTAACCCTAAACCCTTTTAGGGTTCATGTCGTGCTTAAGGTAGGGTAGGCCATCTGACTTCATTTTAAGCGTAGAGACTAACCTGCAAGGCATGCTTGAATGGAGCCCCAATGGCATGGTAATAAGTAACTGGCATTCCCTAAGGGTCCATGCGCTCATATAGTATATACATTGGCCTCAATGTAGTTCCTATTTAGGTGCTTTAGGGTCTAAGTCTATACTATATGGGTACGTGGACCCTTAGGGATTTAGAGTCTAATGTCTAATGGTTTAGAGTTTAGAACCTCCTAGAAGGCAGTTCGTGGGTTTAGGTCGGGTGTAGGTTGCGATAGGGCTTACAGCCGGGTTTCGGGCTAGGTCACCTGTCGAAGGCCAAAAGCCTTCCTTAAGGACGACATACCCTAAACCCTAAACCCTAAACCGTCATAAGGGAAACCTTCCTTAAGGACGACATACCTTAAACCCTAAACCCTAAACCGTCATAAGGGTAGAGAACCCCTACTTTTAAGGTCATGTCGTCCTTAAGGTTTATGAAGGCTGTATGCGGGATTCGGTCGGGTTGACAAGGGTAGCCAGAAACTAAGTTCGAGCTGAGCTTGTGGCGTTTGGCAAGCTTTCGTTGCTGGGCAGGCTCATGTTAAAGATCCACTAAGCCCTATAAAATCTAAACCCTCAAGATACTGGCTTCCTGGTTTTATACAATAAGGGTTAACCGCCAAGCCACACCACAGCACTCCTAAACTCTACCCGGGACCCTTCAAGAGCCTAGCTGTATAAGGACATGGAATAACTAGACTTTGAAGAAACCAACCCTAAACCCTAAACCCTAAACCCTAAACCCTAAACCCTAAACCCAAATATAAACTTCAACTTCATGATGGTTCCCTTAAGGAACAGGTCCCCCAACAAAGTATTCAAGTATGGTACTCCAGAACCCAAATAAGGAGCCCGAAAGATGCATGGTCATGACACAATACCTATAATATAAATGTAAATATAAATAAATATATATATATATATATATATTCATGGACTAGATTATTGTACAGTATGTGTGTGTATATATATATATATATATATCGCTGTGTATATGTATATATATATATATATACATATACATATACATATGTAAGTATATGTACGCGTGTATGTAGGTCTGTCTGTATGTATGTATGTATGTATGTACGTATGTATGTATGTATGTATGCATGTATGTATGCAAGTATGTGCGAGATCACGGGGACATCTGGGGCACAGGCAAGCAAACTGGCTCAAATACTGACATCAGGCGAACCCGGCCCAGGAGTTCGGGGCTTCCGGGCTTGGTGGAGTTCAGGGCTTCGGGGCTTGAGAGTTTAGGGCCTTTCGGGTTTACGGGGGTCTAGGGCCGAGAGGGGTAGGGTTTATGGGGTTTTACAGTTTGGGGGATTTCGGGCTCACGGGATTTGGGAAGCAAGATGGTAAAAGGCTTAGGCTTACTTGGAGGATCATGGGACTTACTAAGTAAGGTTATAAGTCCCCTAATTGGGGTTAATTATATGTAAATATAAGTGCAGTTACCTTAGTTATAACCCTACTTACCCTAAACCCTCAACCCCTAAACCCCTAAACTTTAGGCCCTAAACCCTAAACCCTAAACCCTAAACCCTAAACCCTAACTAAGTTCCATGATCCTTTAAGTAGGGTTTGTGGCATCATCAGCAATCCCCGGCGACTTGAGCCTCAAGGCGTGCGCCAGGGTTTGGGTTTAGGGTATTGGGTTTAGGGTTTAGGGTTTAGGGTTCAGGGTTTAGGGTTCAGGGTTCAGGGTTTAGGGTTTAGGGTTTAGGGTTTAGGGGTTTAGGGTTTAGGGTTATGCATCATCCTACACCCTATGCTAAACCGGCACTGTGGGACATGATCCAACCCTAAACCCCCCAGAAACGATTGGTTTGGGTTTGGGTTTGGGGTGTGCTGTGCACTGAGCCCTGAACCCTAAACCCGAAACCCTAGACCCTAAGAGCGCTGAGCCCCGAACCTTAAACCCCAAACCTTAAACCCTGAACCCTAAACCCTGAAACCCCACCTCCACCGCTTCAACAAGCTAGGCTTCGAGCCAAGCTGGCTTGTAAGTAACATGTAATCTAGTGGCCTCAGATTCCGGTTTAGTTTTTTAGGGGTTTAGGGTTTGGGGTTTGGGGCTTCGGGTTTAGGGTTTTGGGCTCTACAATAAGGGCACTACAAGCCTGAAAAAATGCCACGCTACCCCTTGTGCATGATCCTTAAACGCCCTTATTTAAAGGCAAAGGAGCCCCAAAACCCTAGACCCAAAGGCAATGGACCCATGAAACCTAAACCCTAAACCCCAAACCCTAGACCCTTAAAGCCTAAACCCTAAACCCTAAAACACAGACCCTTAAGCCTAAACCCTAAACCCCAAACCCGAAACCCTAGATCCCAAAAGCCTCAACCCCCCCTAGACCCCCAACTACCCTCCCTAAATACGCGCTACTAAGGACCATAAGGGCTCCATTAAAGGGTACTTGGGGGGTGCTGGTAGACTCCGAACCTTAGCTTCTTTTCCTCAACCCCCTAATGTAAGTATAATAATAAGGAACCCCAAAATAGTATAGGTAATTATTTTAGGCCCCTACCCTAAACCCTAAACCCTAAACCCTAAGCCCCTACATTAGACCCCGAACATTTCCTTCTTTTCCTCCGCCGAGCGAGCGGGCGGAGCTGCCTTGTGAGCCGGGCAGCTAGTCTCCTGGGGCGGCTCTCTTCTGCCTGCTTCTGCTTTAGGGCGGGGGGGGGGGAGTGGTGTTTTCTGGGGGGGGGCGGTTGGGGTTTGGGGTTTAGGGTTTAGGGTTTATAGGGTTTAGAGGGTCTAAGGTTTAAGGATTATAGGGTTTAGGGTTTAGATTTGGTTTCGGGTCTAGATTTGGTTTGGGGTTTAGGGTTTAGGCGTTCTGCCCTGCATTGATACGCTCCCATACCCGTCTAGGATCCAAACAACGGAAGAACAACAAGCAAGCTAGCCATCACATGGATTAAGATAAGGCCTTCCTCAAGGTATCAATTTCAGGCACCGCTCTGCCAAAGGTCTGGGTACTTCCGCGTGAGCATTTGTGCCAAATACAGGTTTCAACAAATAGACATGAGGTAACTGAGGTAATGTCACTTCTTGGGCAGGGCTCCCTTAAACCCTAAACCCTGGCCCGCCCCCTCTAACGGATCCTATTGAACAACAGTCAATGTGTTTGTGCTGGGCCGTGCAGACCCCTTACCTCAGCCCAACAATTCTCCAATTCCCTCAGAACCCTAAACCGCTAAACCCCGAAACTCAAAAGCCACCCTTCCTGAAACTCCGAGAAAAAACCCTGAAGAGCTAAAGCCCTAAAGCATTAACGCCCTAAGACGAAAGATTTGTTTAGTCAATCCCTAAACCCTAAACCCTAAACCCTAAACCGTAAACCCTAAACGTATGGGTTGTGGTTTCGGGTGCCAGGGTTTCGGCAGATCCGGTGATGGTTTTGAGGTTTGGGGTTCCTTTCATTAAAGGAAACTACAGGTGGGG